GGGCAGGGATGGGTGGGAGATTGGGAATTGGGAATTCTCTCTGGAAGGTTGGGGACAATCTGGCCCTCATCCTCCTCCTGACCAAGCAGGCAGCTGGTGCAAAACCCCGCGGTGTTTCCGAAGAGCCCCAGACTTGGAACAGAGACGCCAACAGCCCTGTGGGCGCCCTGAGGAGGATCCCCGAGGTTCTCCAGACCTATTTTCCGCGCCGCCTCCAGCTGCTGCAGCGTGGCCAGGCGCCCTCCCTCGTACTCGCACACGGCCCTGGCCTCGGCGAAGGTCAGCCGGTACTTGCCGGAGCGCGCCTCGCGGTGGTACACGCCGGCCGCCCGCTCTGCAGGGGACAGGGGACACGGGGGACACGGGGGACACAAAGAGGGACAAAGGGTCAGATCCCAGGGTTAACATTCAGGAACACCCAGAAGCACAGGACATGATTCCATGCAGGTGCTTTTATTGAGAGCTCTGGAATCAGGGGTCCAGCCCCAAATCTGACTCCGATGTGGCTCTCAAGCAGAACGTATTTTACATTCTATCATTATATAACTTACACATTAATTATTAACTTTACATTGTTTAGGAACACACCTCATCACAGGATATAATTCCATGCAGGAGCTTTTATTGAGAGCTCTGGGATCAGGGGTCCAGCCCCAAATCTGACTCCGATGCGGCTTTTGAGCTGTATTTTATATTCTATCCTTATATATGATATCCTTATATAACTTACATATTCATTATTAAAATTATATATCTATATATATATGTATATATATAGATACAATAGAACAAGATTATATATCTATATCTATATCTATATCTATATCTATATCTATATCTATATCTATATCTATATCTATCTATCTTATATAATCTTGTTCTATTGTATTTATTGACTTTATTCAACCATGAGTTTCTCATGATCTTCCTTAGGCCCCTGAATCAGGGATCCAGACCCAAATCTGACTCCGATGTGGTTCTCAAGCAGAACGTATTTTATATTCTATCATTATATAGCTTACATATTAATTATTAAATTTGCATTGTTTAGGAACACACATCATCACGGGATGTGATTCCATGCAGGAGCTTTTATTGAGAGCTCTGGGATCAGGGGTCCAGACCCAAATCTGACTCTGACATGGGTTTTGAGCTGAACGTATTTTACATTCTATCCTTACATAACTCACATATTCATAGTAAACTTTTTTCCTAAACTAGCTTACATGTTTTAAGAATTGTTTATTGTGGTTCTTTTTTGGGTCTGTTTTTTAGAGTATGCGTATTTTTTGGTTTATTTTTATCACCTCTAATTTTTGGGCCTTGGTCTACACTGTTTTCAGACAGTGAGTGTTGATAGTTGGCATATTTGTAGTAGGTGTCTTTTTTATATGTTCACTGGATGTTATTTTATCTAAGTAGAAAATTATTGCTTTTCTTAGAGAATTCAACACATTGATATAGCAATTTTACTACTATGTCTAAGCTTAATCAACAACAGAAATAAAACCGATAGCTTTATAACCAAGTTACTTTAACATGATACATATAAAATCTAGTTTAACATTTGCAAAAAGCCATTCATTTAAAGCCAATATTTTAGTTTCACCTTTATCTAGAACACAGGTGAAGAGGAAATGTTCAGCTGTGCCATGCAGGAAGTGTCAGGAAAGCTCAGCCCTGCTGACCACAAAGGGATGAGGGTGACACCCACAGGGATGTGTGTGACACCCACAGGGATGTGTGTGACACCCAAAAAGAGTGTTTGTGACACCCACGGTGATGAGTGTGACCCAAAAGGGTGGATGTGTGTGATCCCTGCAAATTTTAGCTCTTACATTTTTCATGTATTTGTAACCTGCGTTTCTTTAGTGCATAACTCCAATCTCCATATTCAGTGTGAGCTGCTGCTTTCCCATTTTGGGCAGACACAACAATTCCTCTCCAGGCCTGGCAATGAGGGCAGAGAGATGGAAAAAACAAGTGAGTTGGGAGGGAGCAAATTTGGTGTCAATGACTTTGAGAGCTGAAGCTGGAATTGGAACAGATCAACCTCCAATATGCAAATGGACCAAAATGATAAAAGTGTGAAAAGCCATGAGCCACCATCCACTTTTGGGTGTGGCCCCTGGGGGCTTTGTCTGCCCTCAATGTGCCTGAAGGTTCTTCAAGAAATACAATTGCTTTTTATTCCCTTCATTCTGTTTTTTGATAGCCCAAAAAGGCATCATGTGGGTGACACCCAAAAAAGAGTGTTTGTGACACCCAAAAAGGCTGTTTGTGACACCCAAAAAGAGTGTTTGTGACACCCACAGGGTTGTGTGTGACCCCCCAAATGTAGGATTTTGGGGTGGGAGAAGTTTAAAACAGATCAAGTCCGTGCTTGGAAGGGTTTTGAAGAGCAGAAAATCAGCAGGAGCTGGGGAGGCTCCCAGGATGCTCCCAGGGCAGGGATTTGGGAGCAGTTTGGAGTCAGCATCCCCAGCCCTGGCTGGCTCAGGAAGCTCCTCCTGGATCCCCATCACAGCATCCTTCTGCCTGGGACTCCCAGAGCCTCTGGAAGATGAATCAGAGCTTTGTTTTGCATTTCCAGAGAAGTGAAATCACAGCTACTTGGCTAGAGGAGAGGCAGAAATGAAAGGAGAGGGGGGGAAAATGTCAAATAAAAATATCCGAGCGTGTGTCACAAAGGGCAGGACCAGAACAATTGCTGGCTGACATTTCTGCTGCACGGAAAATTAAAGCAATTTCTTCATTATTTTTGACTTTGCCGTGGCAATTCCGAGACAAAACAGCTTTCCAAGGAAACCTAGAATCTGCCAGGGCTGCTACAAGTTTTGCAATCTTTGCGTGTTGCACTTGTCTGGTGCCATATGTATGGAAATCTGTCTTGCAGCAATCTGCATTTCTCATCTGAGGGATTTTTTTTCTTTTTTTTTTTGTTTAGGTCTCACTTATATTTAGCAGAATCTGAGAGGAATTGCTGTTTGCAGCTCTGCCCAGCCAACGGGGCTGAGGAAAGATGGAAAGCAGGCAGCATTTTTACCGTAGTTATCTGCAGCTTAAAAATAAAGGATGGATTTTCTAGGGACACGCTTGGGGTCGGTGCTTTTGGCTGGGTTTTTTGTTTCAAAAAGCCACTGAATTGTGGTTGGGAATGGTGAGAGCCCTTAGCAGACACAGGCTGATGTTTGCCAGGGTGGTTTTTGTGCCCAGATGAATAAGTTCTATTGCTGGCAGCACTCTGAGGAGAGGGAGAACCTCCTTCTGCAGCATCCCTGGCACGGGGTAACAGATCCTCCACGAAAAAACCCTCCTGAAGGAGCCTAAAAATGGGGGAGTGTGGCAGGTTCTAGTACAATAAACTCCTTTTTAATTAAGAATTTATTCATAGGAATTCATTCATGAGGTCTGATTTTTAAATATGCTGTGAAAGGGAGTAACATCCTTGACTAAAGGTGGATCTTTCCCTGTATAATTGGCATAAAAAATCCCTGTATAATTCAATTTGGCACAGCAGGTGGTGTGCACAGAGCCAAGGATCTCTAATTCCTGAGGCTCTGAAGATGCCTTGGGAAGGTGAGGGACCCACTGTTCCCATGCATCCACCAGAATCCAGAGATTATTTGGGAATAATCCCATAAATGTGCCCGATACAGCTTTTTTAAATATCTTTTGGGATTGGCCAAACATCCCAAAAGTTGGCACACCAACCAAACAGGTGGAAAGTGGTTTTTTGGGGACCACCTTGGACAAGCATTTTGTTTTTAAACCTGAAGCTTCAGCCAAAGTCACCCAAACATTTGGTTGAGGTTGGCAGATTGGCAAATCTGCGTGGCTAAAGGCAAGCAAAGCAAAAAAAAAAAATAAATACAAGCATAATTTTTGATTTAGTCACAGGAAATATTAGTTTTCAGTCACTCAGCAATCTGTCATGGCTAAGCTCATGAGAAATCAAGAGAAATCAGCTCATTCTGTGTTGGGAATGCAGGGCTGGGGAATCCCCCAGGAAGCAGCCCAGTGCTGGGCCTGCCTGCAGATATTTTTATTTTAACTGCAATATTTGTAGTTTAACTGTTACAGGTGCAGATGAGAAAAAAGCTGATACTTTGCTCAAGGTAAAAATGATGGTTTTACTCTTTCTTGTTGGATTGTGCCCTTTTCTGACTCAGACTCAAATGTTTTAAAACTCAAATGTTTTAAAAACTTTTTTTCTATTTTCAGTCTCATGAGAAGGGTGAGACAATACAGATGTTATAATTCACGTTGTTACAATTAGAAACTAATTTTTAATTACAATACCTTATAAGTGTAATTTAATTATCTGTAAATCGATTTCCCACATTTCTCAGATGAGAATTTAAAAAGTTGGGATTATTTTCTTTCCATGTTTATCAGACTGGGGAAGGATCTGCAGAAGGCAACAAGAAATGGTCCTGGAAATGTGTGAGGCACAGAAACTGGTGTTGATTTTCTTAGAGAATCCACAATATTGATGAATTTAAAGCACAGTGTGAGGGACAGGGGCCAGTGACAAAAGTTCTAAAGGAATTTCTGAGGTTCAAACTTCTGAAAGTTTTTAATTTTGCAAGAGTTTTTTCTTAGTTCTGGGCATGAAAAAT